TTGGGGTGGTGGGTGCTGGCGATGCTTTGCGGCATGATCGGCGACGAGCGAGGGGGGGAAAATAGAAGGAGAAGGCGATGTTTCCCCCATGCCAGGTCAATGTAACTCTATACCAGTCCCCCGCTATCGTTGCCCCTTCGAAGGAGGGTGTATATTGCGACGACAAAATGTTTGGCCGGGGCCTCGAGGCGTGCCCAGCCTCGGCGAGAAGGGCATACCCATGTACGTCCAAAGCGAGCCGATGGCCTAGAAAACTTGGGACGACGACGACGACGACGACGACGACGACTAGACGGCGGCGGCGGCGGCGGCGACGATGGCCACCAGTCGGCGGCGAGCGAGAGGGGGCAGTGATAAAGAGAAGGCCTTTTCATGAGGCGGCGGGGCTTCTCAGAGGCCCTCGCGCCTTTTGAGCCGTTGCCTCTGTTTCCGGGGAAGGCTCTGAGGAAACTTCTCTGAGGGCTTGGGGGTTTCCGAGCCTTCTGAGAAGGCCCGCCCATTTTCACTTCCCCCCCAGGGCTCGCCGCCGACATGAATTTAGATGTGTTTCGAGACCACTGCCGGGAAAATCATCTCCGCGCTGGTCGTCGGCCTCACCTTGGCGGTTCAGTGGTGGGACCCTGGGGCATGGGGCCGTCTGGGTAGGAGAGTGACCACACACGCTGCACAGTCATCCTCCGAGGGCCACTCGTCCTGAGCCCACAGGGACCATTCGAAGGCCACTCGTCCTGAGTCCACACGTTGGATCGTCACCATTCGAGGACCATTCGAGGGACACACGTAGAACAAATATTGGAGCTCAAACGAATTTTCAAATTTCGAAGAATCGATTTTTAACCTACCAAAATTATGCAAAACTCCCGTCGACATTTTTGTTGCCAACTAGCCCCCCCAGCGCGCCGGGATGATTCTCTAGCTTCGCCGCTTCGCTCTTAGGGAAGCTCTACGAGTCACTTTACGTGACAAACATGTTGGACCACACGCGTGCCGCTCGTCCTGAGGGCCCCACGTCCCTCGAGGCCCCAGCCGTGAGCAGCTCCTTGTCTTTCAAGAAAAAGCCCCCGGCCCGCCGACGCCGGCCGTGGCAGCCCCGCCCCCGCTTGCGAGGGGTGCGCAGCTCTGTCCTCCTCGAGGCACCTCTGCAGGTGGTACTCCCACTGCTCGCGCTCCTCCGCGGCCTCCTCGGCCTCGCGGCGGCGGAACCCCGCGGTGCGCTGGCAGCGCGCAGAGGGGTGAGGGGGGGACACCAATCGGACGACGGGGGTGAATAGCAAGCTTCCGACGCTTGTCGGCTGAGGCTCCGAGACCCAGGTGCGTTCGTTGATTGCCCCAGGAGGGCTCCCGAGAGCCCAAAGAAGCGCCCCAAGAGGTCTCCAAAACGGTCCCAAGGGCGACTCGACACAGCCCCCAAAGGTCGGATCGGAGAAATGGCGGCTTCAGCAAATGATCTCACGCAGCCGATTTCCCTGGCGCCCCTCGGCGCACCGTGGAAAGAGCCGAGACTGGCTGCACGCAGCAGATTTCGCAGCCCTTCTCCTGGCCATCGCTTGGACGTCCATTTCCTGTTTCTTTTCGGTGTCGGGCGTTTTTTTTTTTTTTTTTTTTTTTTTTTTTTTTTTTTTTTTTTTTTTTTTTTTTTTTTTTTTTTTTTTTTTTTTTTTTTTTTTTTTTTTTTCTATATATATATATATATATATATATATATATATATATATATATATATTATATATATTCGCCAAGTGATCAAGGATGCGCCTCGATGGCCCTCGCCGAAGGAAAAAAACGCACGCGCCCGAGCGATGCCAAGTCTCTTCCCTCTGCCGCCCGTCGCCCGACCGGGAGTCCAGGGCGGGGGGGCCTCTGCGGGGAGCGCGGGGGCGCCGCGCGGGGCGCGGCCGAGGCCCGACCGTGGCAGGCCTGGCCGTGGAGCCTGCCGACGACGGGGCGCCCCCCCTGGGAGGGAGTGTGCGCGAGTCGCGGGACCGACCGCGCGAGGGGAGGTCTCTCGGCAGGCCCCAGGTCGCCTCCTCCTCCTCCTCCTCCTCCTCCTCCTCCTCCTCCTCCTCCTCCTCTCAGCGTGATTTGCTGTTTCCTTCGCGTCCTCCCGCCGCCGCCCTGGAGAGGGGCAGCCGCTCTGACCCAGACCGCAACGCAAGCAGTCGATGCCCGGGAGAGGTCCAGCTGGCCATCGCTCGGACGTCCATGCCCTGTGTTTTTTGTGCGGTTTCGTGCGTGTTTTTTTTTCGCCGAATGATCAAGGATGCTCCTCGATGGTCCTCGCCGAGGGACACACGCACACGTCCGAACGATGCCAAGAGTAGCGGCCTTGGTGCCTTTTCGCCCCCCCCCCCAGCGGCGGCATATTCTCTGATCTCTGGTGGAGCCAGCGCGACCTGACGGGCGCTCGATGAGCCAAGGGTCGGGTCAACGCAGGAAGGTGCTGTTGTCCTGCAAGTATGTTTTGTTACACTTTTGCGATCGTGCTGACGACATATCGACTACTGGATACCCTCTCGGTGGCAACGATGGCGACTCGCAAAACTCGCCCATGATATTCTTCGCCATGGTCGACGTCTGGAGGATGTTTCTGGGTGGGCCACCAAAAACCGAACGCATGAAAAACGCCCCCCGCCCCCCACGTGAGGAACTTTAGACCAAGTCGACGGCGACGGCCTCGATTACAGGGAGCCTACACTGACGCACATTCGCCAGAATTGCAAAACGCTGGCATCCCAAATCAATAGTTATGGGGGCTGGGATCGGTTCCCCACTGGTCACAGACCAGAATACATCGAAACTCAACTCGGCACGAGAAGCCGATTCTGGGGAAAGGGCCGAGCCGAGAACGCCGGGGGCTGGCGACTTGGGGCCATCGATGCGTCAGATGTTCATCGCAGCCTACACTTAGGCCGGGCATGTCATTCATCAGGCGGATTTTTGAGGAAAAACGAAACATATTCAAAACATGTTCCCAAGATAATGGTCAACAAACAAATCGTCCCCGACTATGTTTAGGTTGAGTTTGAATCTTCCTCCTGTAGAGAGACACGCCCGAAATAAGCCTACACCTTGGAAGCCGCCCGTGCTCACCTTTTCGTCCGCGACCGCACACGGAAGGCCCGCGCGCCGTCCAAAGCTACAGCTCACAAGCAGGAGCCTAAACTGCACGCGGGCGGGAGGAAAAGAGCGACAACAACAGAACAGCGGGAGGTGAGATTTAGACGCCCGAAATGGGTACGGAAAGAATGGGTACAATGCCCAACAAGAATTGCTGGCCCAAACCAGCAGCGGCCGCTGTTGGGCAGGCGGCCTTCTGTCTCCAATGGACACAGGCCGCGGCGTCGCGGACAGCGAACCCTGTTCAAAATGAACAGGAACTGCTGTTGGACATTGTACACATTCTTTCATAGCAAAACAAAAAAACATAAACAGAACAATTCGGAGGTCCGCGCGGATTGCGCCAGAGGCGCCGCTGGGGGGCCCCAGCGCCGATCAGAGAAATCCGCGAGGACCTCCAGGTCGTTCGTGCCGATGATGAAAAGGGGCCCTGGGACACACACACACACACACACACACACACATTCACACACACACACACATACACACACAAATAACAGGATCCCCCATATTTCCCATATTTCCTGGGGAAGCGACGATTCATTGTGTCTCTTTGTGTTTTTTCCCCTCCCGAGAGGAGACCAGGCCGGGGCCGCCCGCGTAGGGGGCCACATGCGAACCCGACCTCGTTACCCCCCACGACTTCTGAGGTGGAGGGGGGGGTCACTCCGCTCGGGAGCTCCCGAACGAAGCGAACCCCACCCTCCCCCTCAGAACCCGTGGGGGGCAGGGGTAGGGTTCGCGTGTGGCCCCCTGCCGTGCCCCCGCCCGGCCGGCCCATGTGACCTCCCTCTGCCCGCCCTCCGCGGCCGCGCTCTCTGGCCCTGCGCTGCGCGGCCCCCTTCCCCGCGCGGGTGGGAGACACACGCGGCGCCCGTGGAATCTCGGGGGCGGCCAAGAGGGGGGTGTCCAAGAGGGGGGGGGGGGGGACAAATCATGGCCGGCGGCATGTGCGCGGCCCAGCGGGGGGGCCAGGGACGTAATGAAATAAGAAGAGGCGCCATGAACTCTGGGGAAATATCATGGCCCACGCCAAGATATCCACCCCCAACCTAGTCATCACCCCCCTCTTTTCCGCCCCCGAGAATCCGCGGGGGCGCTGCGGGAGAAAGCTGCCGGGGATGCTCAACTCGGCGGTGGGCAAAGCTCGCTTTTAGTGAACCTCCCCTTGGTGGAAACGGCCTGGGGCCGAAACCGACGGACCCGGACCCGCAAAGATGGTGGCCGCGACGCCCTCTCGCGAACCGAGAACGGCCAATTCCTTGATCAACGTGTCAGGGCAGGAGGTCTATCAACCTCCGATAAATGGGCGAAGAACGTTACGACATCAGCTTTTTCGCTGTCGGGGGCGCCTGTCCCAGGGCACCGTAGGGGTAAAAACTTCCGCACCGCCCAAGGGCAGACGTCCCCGACGGCGGACAAGTTTCTTGTATACCGTTCTTCGCCAGCCCGGGAATCGGCGGGAAGTCGCCCGGGCATTCGAGGGAGGAGGGTATATTAGGCTGTGTGCCACGCCGGCCGGCGATGCTTCGACTTCGCCGTCCCACCGTGTGCGCCGACCGAGCCACGGGGAGTCGTTTGCCAAGGGGGAGAAGGGGAATGATAATGAGGAGAAGGACGAGCAGCAGGAGGGGAGAGGAGGAGGAGGAGGAGGAGGAGGAGGAGGAGGAGGAGGAGGAGGAGGAGGAGGAGGAGGAGGAGGGAAGTGGGAGGAGCAGGAGGAGGGCGAAAAGGTGGGGGGGGACTGCCCAGCGCTGCTCAGGGCATCTGCCGCGAGCAGCGGCTTTTTGTCTGGCGCCTCGCGGCGCGAGGGGCCGCCACACACCGAAAACATGACGACGACGACGGCGAGGACGAGGACGAGGACGAGGACATACGAGGAAGACGACGACGACGACGAGGACGGGCGAGGCGGTGCCTCTGGAGGTACTCCCCTGACCTCCGCCCCTCTCGCCCGCCCCGAACCGCGCCTGCTGTGGGGCGCCGGCGTGCCCTCAGGGGGCCACATGCGAACCCTACCCCTACCCCCCACGATTTCTGAGGGGGAGGGTGGGGTTGACTTCGCTCGGGAGCTCCCGAACGAAATGAACCCCACCCTCCCCCCCAGAAATCGTGGGGGGCAGGGGCAGGGCTCGCATGTGGCCCCCTAGCTCGAACGAAGGATTGCAAAAAAAAAAGGATTGCAAAAAAACCCTCGCTTGAACGAAGGATTGCAAAAAAACCCACGCGAACGAAGGATTGCAAAAAAACCCTCGCCGCCACTGCGCCGTCGGCCGCGCCCCGCTGCGCCAGCTCGCGCCTGCGAGCGGGCGGCACGCGCCGCGCGGGCGGGCCCCGCCGAGGCCTCACTCCACGGCCGCCTCGGCCTGCTGCGCGCGGCGAGGCCTCCCTCCTCCTGCTGCTGCTGCCGCCCCTCCTAAAACAGGGCTCGGAGCCGGCATCCATCGAAATCAAGTCGGATCGAATCAGAGAAATCGAGGTGAGCCCCGCCATCCTTCGCACTATCGCGCCGCCCGCCCCCCTAAAACAGGGCTAGGATCGGGATAAATCGCTCCAGAGCGTTCCGGAGCGCTCTCAGAGCGTTCCGGAACGCTCTGGAGCGGCCGCGGCGCCCAATACATCCTCCAAACCCGCCGATTCTCAGAGACTTCGAGTTATCCCGATCCGATGTTGTCCCGATCTTCGCGTCGTTTTACCTCCTCATCCGGAGCCCGCGACGCGCGCGGAGCGCGCCGCGCGGGCGGCTGCCCGCGGGCCCCCTCAGAAGCGGAGGGAGGCTCGAGGAGCCGTGCGCGACGCTCTGGGGGATGCTCCCGCCCTGCCTGGGCCTCTGGCGGAGCCTCTCGCCTCCACGGCCGCGCCCAAGTGGGCCGCCCGACGTCGCGCGCGGGGCGCTCCGAGAGGGGCGCGGCGCGCGCTTTTTCGCGGGGCCCCCTTCGGAGGAGGGCCACTGTCCGGCCCAGGCCGCGGCGAGCGAGCTAGGGCTCCCAACTTCGCGCTTCGCGCTCCGCGAAGCGCGAAGCGCGAATAACTTCGCGCTCTCGCGCCGCCCCCCCAAAGGGAGAAAAGGAGGACGAGGAGGAGGGGGAGGAGAAACGAGGACCGCGAAGCGCGAAGCGCGAATAACTTCGCGCCCTCGGGGGAGCCCTTGGCGAGGCGCCGTCGCCCTGATCCAGAAAGCCGGCGCGTCGACTGCTCCAAACCGTGGGCCCCCGGGCCTGTCGCCCGCATCCCGACGGCCCGCTTCACCTGCGCACTCAGAAAGGGTGCTGTCGTCCGTAGCTCGGCGCCTTCGACTCCTTGCCGCCCCTCACCTGCCTCGTCAGTCCGGTACCCATACACCGATGCTTGTGTGTGTGCAGGCCCGGTACCATTCGGCCACACTCACACTCAGATAGGCTCATCGCGAAACCCGATGGAACTCAGCTCCGTTCGTACTGATGTTTACTCATACGAATGCTGAACCTCACTTGTGTTCACACGCGCATGACCACCTATACGCCTGGCCTCCTTCTGAGAGAGCCGCCACGGGGCTATGCCAGGGGCCCGTTCGCATCCAGATTGCGGGGCAGGTGCGCATGCGTTTGTCAGCACCGCGATGTGGAAGGCATAGCACTTGGGCCTCCCAAGGGGGGAGGGCGACAAGGTGGGGACCGCTCAAACGAAGCGCCCATTTCCGAAAATAGATGGATCTCTTCACAAAAGCCGTGATCACCACGAAGCACGAAAAACGGCCCTTGGGCCTCCCACTTGGAACACCACCATAAATGATATGGCAGGTCCCGTTTGTCTCCGAAATGGGGAAGTAAACGAATGGAAACCTATTTAAAACGCTCGTTTGGGGAAGTCGATAAGTCTGTTTCAGAGACACATGGTTGCCGCGATGTAGCATGCGCGCGCCTCATTTGGGCACCCATTGGGCAACCGCCGGGGGTATGACACGGGCCCGTTCGCGTTCACCTTTTTCAGGATCTCCCAAGCATCCAGATTGCTGGACACCCCCGCTCACGTCCAGACGCAGTCTTACGACGGACGATTCGCTCACATTCAAGCCCGCTCATACTCGAAGCTGTTCGTATTCAGCGACGCGCTGCAGTACCTATTCAAATAAAGGCGTACAAGCGCAGATGCGCAAAAGAACAACCAAACTTACATTTACTAAACAAATGCCCATGACCACTCGTACTAGCACGGCGAACCCCATCCGCTCAGATTGGACTCGCTCGAACCCGTTCTCGCTCACACCCGATTGCACACATACTCGCACCCGCTAGCACCAGGACCCGCTCAGATTAAAGATCGTTCACAAACATATTCGGTCAGACTCGGTCACTCGTGATTAACTTCGTAACCGGTACTCAGACAGTCAAGCACCCAGAAAGGGGGTATGATTAACATTCAGACACCCACTGAACCAGATGAGAACGGGTGCCACATTTCGGGGGAAGCGGAAGGCAAAGGAAGACGCCCCTCCTCATGAAAAGGAGAAGGGCGGCCACGCCCGAAGGCGGCTCTACGTGCGTCAGCTGCAAGAACTTTACCATGCACAAAATGCCGGAAGCTTTTGACAAGTTGAGGTGCGACTTCAACGGGACACCACCCCGCTGGCACATGCATAGCTGCACCGGGAACGTGAACGCATCTCCACGAACAGGACTTTTTATATATCTATATATATATATATGAAAAGAAAAAAAGTCCGTGGCCCACAAAAAACAAGGACGGACAAACGCATACTGTCGAAATGAACCGAGCCGCAAAAAAAAAAAAAAGCGACGACAGACGCGAAATCATGAGACGAAAGAGACGGCCAACAGGACGCGCGCGACACCCAGAGAAGAAGTTCGAGGACAAAGCCAAGGAGCCCGATAAGTGTGCTCGCCGCATCAGGTTCCCCCGCCGCAAGTGGAAACGAACTCGCGGAATGCTTGGCGTCGGGTTTCCCTGCAGCGAAGTCAAGCAATCTCGATGGGTGCTCAACGCCGGGTTTCCCACTTGCAAAATCACGCGCGCCAGCGCCCCCCCCCCCCCCCCCCCCCGCGATCGGCGCCCCTCCGCCCCCCCCGGAAGGAGGACGGCGCAGGGGTGGCCAATGGTGACCGCGCTCTGATCTAGAGCAGGCCTGCCCGTTCCTCGCCGGGGCGCGTCTCCCCGCGCTTTTGCTCGGGCTCACGGGGCGCCGCTTCCCTCCGCGTCAGGGCTGAGGCGGACTGTAAGGCGCTTCGCCACCAGGGCCCGAGAGGCCACCTGGGCTGGAGTTTCTGGGGGGTCACCCATCTGTGAAGCTTTGTTCGCGGGGGCTTGTCTTCACCGTTGCCCGCGCGTGCAATGGCGCAGTTGCCCCCGTGCTTGCGCCCCCCGACCTGCGAGTCGGCCCTGTGGTCTTTCTGTTTTAATGCTCTGGGTGACATCGCGGACAGCCCCGCGACGCGCGCGCCCCTGATTGGACCCTATCGCTGCGCGCCACTTTGCCTGCCGACGTGGCTGAGCGGCCGCTCTCCGCCAGCGCTACTTCTCTGCGCGCCGTTTGCAGGCGTTCACGTGAAATTTGGCGCGCTGGTCGCGAAGCCGCTCGTAGCTCTGGTTGGCGAAGCAAACGGCATGCTCGAAACTCGCGGTCGCAACGCTCTTCTCTCTGCGTTCTGAATGCAGACTCAAGGGTGGGCGACTCGGGACTTGCAAGAGTTGCCCCCCTTTCGCGCGGACAGCATTGAGGCGGGCGAAAACAAAAGTGCAGCCGCGTGCCTCTACCAGCCTGCACCGCCCCAGGATCCTAAAATGGACTTGTCATCCTGGCAAGAGCCACGCGTTGGTCTCAGCTTCTCCCATTCGTGCGTTGATCCTCCTCCGCAGGTCGTCGCTCCTCAGGGCATTGTTGCGTGCTGTGGCCATTCCTATATCGGGCGTCTCGATCTCGCCACTGTCCGCGAGGGGCTCGCGCGCTGCTGCGGTGCCCGCAGTCACGCGTGGCCGACTGATGCGCTTATCAGGTCAACCTGGGGAAGGCTCGTCGTCTCATGCATTTCTAACGTCCAAAGGCAGAAATACAGCGCGCCGCGCAGCCTTCTGCAGCCAGCCGAACTGCGTCTTCTGCAGCGCCCTGCCCCTTGCGGTTTGGTGGTCCACCGCCCGAGCCCTGGAGCTCATCCCCGAAGGGTGAGGTGGCGCGCCCATGTGTTGTTCGTCCTTCATCTGTGATCGGCCCCGCTGGGCCACCATCGGCGCGGTGCGTTCGTGCTGGCCTGGATTGTCAGATACGGGCGCAGCGCAAATGCCGCCGCTCTGCTGAATTACCTGAACACCAAGTGTGCGCAACGCGTTTGGCGTCAGATAGCCCGGCCGCGGTGCGCCGGCGCGCCGCGCGCGCGGCGTCGGGCATCCCCGCTGCGAACGCGCGCAGGGTGCAAGGACGCCTTGTGTTGGTGCTACTGCGGCCCTGGTCTCAGCATCTGTCAACTCCGCAACTTCGCGCGGCTGCGCGACGTGGACACAGGCTGCGGCGCCTTCGCCGCCTGGCTCATGCGGCCCGAAGGCGGCGGTGCCTCTCCGGCAGACATCGCAAAGAAACGCCCACGTTAGGCAATGGCCCACTCTTTTGCGCAGCGCGACGTTCAATTGATCCAACCTGGCCAATTCAGCGCCCGCCTCGCTTCTGGTTTCATCTAGGCCCATGGCGTCCATCGTGCTGTGGCTCCGGAGCTCGTCATTGCAGTGTACATGTTCGCATTCCTCGAACCTTCCGCGCGTGTCTCTGTCCACCAGCTGATTTGCAAAGGCTGTGCTATCCGCGATACTTGGCTGCCCTTGCAAGGCAGCGCAACTCATCCTCATTCCATTCGCGGCGGTTGATAATGCTGCCGTCCGACTCTGGTCTTATTCCGGCTCAGTGCCCCCAGCGAGCCGCCGCGCTCGCGGGGCCCCGGCTTAACTGGAACTCGTGCAGCGTGTCATCGCGCTGCTCGGATTCATCCATGCTGAGTCGTAGAAGTAGGCATTGCAACTCTGTCTCTGTCGCTGCCCCTTGCAATGATCCCGGGCACTCTGGGCCACAGGGGCTTCGGTGGAAGCGCGAGCTTCGGCGCGGATAACTGGGCGGACTGTTTATGGTTGACTGGTCAACTGCGCCATAGCCCGGGCTTCTTCTGCAACGGCCCGCGCATGCTGGTCGCCTTGTCCGTGCGCGGCTCTCGCGCGCGTGCCGCGGATTTCCTGGAAAGCATATATCACTTGCTCCTCGAATGCGATTTGTCGTTGCCTGCAACGGCAAGGCAATGCGCGCATTCAGTGGGCCGCTTGGCACTTGGTTCGCGATTCGCGGCAATTCGACGCTCGTCATTATGGCTCGCGTCGAATGGGCGCTCATTGG